TTTATTTGTGGCTGTTTTGTGTTTATTGTGCGTCTCTCGTTGTCGTGTTGTGTCTCCTCATGGTTTTCTTTTGCCTGTTTGTGGTCACTTTGTGTCTCTCTGTTGTTGTTTTATTGTCTTTAGTCTTTTTATTGACCTTCTGATTCCACTGAATGTGCCTTTAATTGACTAATCTGCATTTCCCTGTTAACTTTTAACCTAATATATCTTCTTTGTTGTCATTGTGTAGTTATTGTGTGTTATTTTACAGTCACGTTTCTCTGTAGTTGTGTTTTGCCTCACTTTGTAGTCATTTTGTCGTCATTTTGTGTCTCTTTGTGGTCGTCTTTTACATTTTTATACTTGTTTAGTGGTTTAATTTTGAGTTCTTGTTGTCACCTTTTGTCTCTTTCACCGTCATGTTGTCGTTATTTTGAGGCTTACTTCAGTCTTTTGTGTCCATTTGTGGTTGTTTTGCATAATTTTGTTGTAGTTTTGTGTCTCTTTGTCACAGTTTTGTTGTCTTTAGCCTTTTAATAGTCGTTCTGATTCCACTGAATGTTCCTTTAAATGACTAATCTGTATTTCCCCGTTAACCTCTAACTTCATATAAAGGTTTACATTCTTTGTCGTCATTTTGTAGTTATTTTAGTTTAGTTTATTTTAAAGTCACGTTGTGTCTCTTATTTTGCGCCTACAGTCATTTTGTGTCTCCGTCTTTTGCCTTTTTGGAGTCATATTGTGTCTCTTTGCACTTGTTATTGTGGGTCTTTAGTTTCTTGGTTGTCATGTTGTGTCTCCTCTGTTGCTGTTTGTGTCCATTTCTTATCGTTTGTGTCTTTGTTGTGAGTCCTTGTCGACGCCTGTGTGACCATTTGAGGGGGTTAAAGTTAAACTTTTACTAGTTTTAGGGGAAAATGGGGTCAAAATAACTTTGAGTTGCTAAAAAACCTTTGAGGAGTCATTAAATGCACCCAAAGATGTTCCAACACTGTCCAGAGACAGAACCAGCTGCTCTGTGACGACTTATTTAAGTTTTAATTTCCTTTTGCTGAGGCCCAAAGCGGGCCAAACCACATTTACTACTTTTTGAGTAAAAACCAATTCCAGGTTTGTCTCGCTGAACAGCCTGAAGGAGTTCACATCATGAGGAACTAGAGATACTTGTGAGGACCGTGGGGTAGAAACAGAAGCTTGGTGGTGGATAGTTAAGGTTTTATTTTACCTACAAGCTGAGTTTTCACCGGGCTTGAGGTCGCGCTGTCCGCCATCTTGAATCACAAACACGCTACAACTACCTGCGACATAACGGTCAGCGGTTCTTGTGGCTTGGTCCAGTTGGCCACTTAATTTTCATGCCAGAACCATCATGGGCTAAACTTCAAAGTCTCGTTATGACGGTACTGGTGGGCTGCTGGTTGGACCACTTCACCACCAACTAGTCGACCAGAAACACATTTTAAAAAACTGGATTTTTTTGTGGTTTGGCCCACTTTGGCACCAAAAGTAAAGTCGTTCTCTCTCAACCACAGACACGTTTCTGTCTCTCTGTGAGTATCTATGAGGTCACTTTGTGCTGTGGTGGTTTACTGACTCTCCAACAGACTCGTGTCCACTAACGATCCATCTAACCTTCTGTGTTTCTTACCGTCCTGCTGCTTGACCAGCCCTTGGTGGATGTAGCGAATGTAGGTGAAGAAATTACACACCGCCGTGATCTGAGGAGGAACAAACGGACAGAAAACGTTAGAAAACACTCCAACAGATGTTTAAAGAAACGTCTTTAAGGCTTCGGTTACATGAAGGAGTTCACAGAAGTCGGTGAATGGGAGGTTTTGTGCTGTTTTGCTGAACTGAAGTCCAGTACAGGCTGGATTTATGCCCCGTGGGGAAGTGGGAAGATTTTAATCAGTTTCTGCTCCGACCAACCGCAGTGATATTTAGTAGTTCCATCTTTTAAAGAGGATCCCTGATTTGTTTCTGTCGTGCATCCTGGTATTTTTAGCTTAAATTTGCTGACATTTTGTCAAACTGTCTCCAGTAAAAGTAGCTGAGCTCTTGTTTGCAGTAAACCCACAGATGTACAGACGACCGGAGACGACTTCGAGGAATTCTGAACACATTTATGGGCGTTTACTCACCCTGGGCATCGGGGATAATGACATTAGTGTGATTCCTGGCCGTGAGTTCAGATTTAACAGAGTCAGAGAAGGAGGAGGATGACGATGTTTGACACTCTTTCACCTCCCTGTCAAACCTCCGGCGCCTCCGCGTAAAGGCTGCCGAGTGCACAAGTGTCTCCCAGATCAGCTCCTGAACTTCACGTGTTTCCTCGCAGACTCGCAGCAGAAGGTTAACGAGCGTAAGACGCAGTAAAACATTAATTTTCTGCGCCGAGTCAAAGCTGCTTTGAAGGAAAAAACATGACACGACGCCTGCTGCTGCTGCTGCTGCTTCGCATGAAGGCATTAAAGCTATTTTTACTTCTTTTTTTTTTTGCGCCGACCTCCTCGTTAAAACAACGCCAGTTTGTCTGGCTGTGAAAAGATTCCCAGTGTCAGTCAGAGTCTCATGGATCGAGACTTCACTGCTCAAAAACATCATAACTTCATCAGACGCTGCCGCACAAACGCTCCATTCAAGTCAAATATCAAGTGAGCCCAATCAAACCTTATAAAATAACGGACACGCTTCACGGCGTTTACCGTCGGCCGTGGGAAAGTCTCCTAAATGTTCGATGCTGTCGGACGTTACGACACAAGTGTCTGAGTGTTTACGTACGTGTGTGATCAGAAAGTTCAAAGACACTCGTAACGTTTCCTCAAAGTCCCGTTATCTAAACATGTCGACCACCGTCTGCGACAAGCATCGAGTCTCCTGAACCGAGTGGGAACAGCGACCCTTCAGCTTCACTTTGGGGAAGCCGGCTTTGGATCCACGTGACACGAATGTCATCGTTTCGTCTCCCACAAATCATCAGACTGCTTCTGTTCGACCGTCTCTGATTTCCTTGAAACTTTCTTATCAGAAATTACGGATGTTTGAAATGTTCTAGATTGGTCTGTCGGGAACTTTCCCAGATAACTTTCTAAAACAAAAAGCCCACTTTTTTTCCCAACATTAAAATGCGAATCTCTGTTTGGGAAACAACATCTCGGAAATAATCAAAGATAAAACACTGACCAGAGTATGTTCCATCTTTTTTTATATTTCAGAAACTCCAGAACTCTGCTTGGATTAGACCGTCTTGCAATACTTTTGCTTAATCAGTTCTGAAGGTTTTTCCTTTTGCTGATCGAGTATTTAATATTAAAACTCTTCTGTATGTTTAGTTTTGTGTTATTGAGACTTGAAGCTACATGTGGTTCAGAAACATCTCCAGTTGACGTCTGCGTTGTTAGTTTTTGAGCCAACATGAGCTATAAGACGGATCTTTTTCACGACGGCTTCAAATTTTTTTCTTCATATTTCAAATCAATAACTCAATATAACCAGAGACGGTTTGATCGACTTGTCCGACATCACAGATTCTGAATCAACGACGTGCTGAGAAATAACAGAGAAAAGTTCAGGTTTTTACCTTTAATAGTTCCTGAGATATTATAGTTCAAATACAGCTTCAAATGTGTGAGAAAGAGTGCTGAAAAAGGGTCGACGGGTTTTAACTTTTAATTATCTTGGAAACTATTTAATACATTGAGGTAAAATTCCACAGATATCTTTATTAACGTCACTGTTTTATGCTCTAAAAGTTTCAGGCAAATTCAAAAGACAGTTGAGTAGAAACGGTTCCAATAATTTGCTTGTGACGCATCAGTCCCAGGACTTTTTGATCCCACCTCATACGCTGTATTTCTACTATTATTGACCACAAACATGACGGTGAAAATGTTCTACGTGACGGCCGTGTGCTGATACTCACTCTGTATCTGCAGTAGGGAGACACGTAGTAATAGTTGGACGAATCTCCGAACTTGATTCTGTGCTTACAGGTTTTGGTCTGACCGCTCAGGGCACATTTTCTGTCAGAGACACACCACAGTCAGTTATTGGCTTTTTTTGTCGGTCTTCTTTTCATGAAAACAGAATTATTTGCCTAAAAAACAAAACAAACAGCACAGAAGTAAAACTACGACTCAAAGGAGGCAAAGGAGGGAAGAGGAGGGGAAGCATTTATCAAGGTTCGTCTCATCGGGATCGCTTTGATAAACCTGGACAGAAGGAGGAAGGACCGGAGGGAGGAGCGTCATGTTTGGAAGAGCCAGGCGGGTTTAACCGAGGACGGGCTACAAAAGGTGCTGACGGCAGAGAGTCGGACTTACGTGACGAGCTCGGCCCTTCGCCCGCTAGAGGAGGAAAGAAAGCGAGGGGAGATGGAGACGTGACGGTGAAGGAGTGAAAGTCTGATGAAGAGGAGAAAGAGCTGGTGTGAACGGGGAGGGTTTGTGTTTTTGCTCACTTTGGTCCGCCGCACTCCACCGCCGAGGCCTTGACCACCGGCAGCGGCTGGAACCCGACCGGCTCGACGCTCAGCGTGTTCTGCTCCACGGCTTCCAAGATGGCCGAACCCAGCTGAGGGAGGAGAAGAAGGAATTAAAGGACGGCAGCAGGAAGTGATTTCATCCCTGCAGGCCGATAAAAGAGGCCGGCTTTCCTGTGACGTCGTCTGTTTCTATCGTCTAGTTTATCTTTATTTGCCTGTTTTGCTGTTCCACTTGTTCTTTGTTGGATATGGCATTTTTGGTGCTTTTATAATAATATCTGGGGTTGTTTTGATTTATTTTGAAAATCTTTTACCACGTTTAAGTCTATTTCTTCTTCTGTTGCTCCTAGAAATCCTTCTTTCCTTTTTGCTGTCTGTAAAGCAGGTTGTTGTATAAATAAAGGTATTATTATTGTTAATATCAGTATATTTTTAGTGCAGAGCTGGATTTATGGGCTGTCTGAACTGCATGTCAGATATCTTTGGAAACCATCTTTCCAGACTCAAATAGGGAATATCTAAGTTGTCCTTTATCTGCAGCTTTCTTAAACCAACTTCCACGTCCTTCTCCAGCTCTGAGGAACGAAGACGATCCGTACATTGCTGTTTGTTTACTTGTTATTCAACTATTTTTGGAACTCTTCATGTGAAAAACTCAATGTGACACAATCGATAACAGTCAAGTGAATTTAAAGCAAACCTTTAAAAAGTCGCAAATTTTAAATAAAAAAAGAAAAAGAAGAAAGAAATCAGCCCTTTATCTATTAACTGCTTTGGAGCCAGTTAGACTGTGTCGTCAGAAGGTGGCGCTACAGGCTACGTGGTTGTAATAAACAGAGCTAAAGAAGCCAGAAGCAAAACAAGAGAAGAAACTAAACCTGATCCATCTGTGAGACAAAAATGGAGCTTTAAACTGCAGATTATCAGTGAGGGAAACTGGTAAAAATCCGTAGCTTAAAACAAATCAACAAGTCTAAAGATGAAGCCAGTTTTAGCCTCTTTAGCATTTTAAAACACTGACATACATGAAACTCTGACTCGTCTTTTGCCACTTCAGTCTGAACTCTGTTTTCGTGACGTCCTTTTACCAGACACCAGCCACAGATGATGCTCTGCACCAAAAACCTCTAAACAAGTTCAGTTGTTCAGTAACGTTACACATTCCTGCACACTGTGTTCCTGCTTTTACGACTCCATGGATCTGCTGTTTTACATCATTTGTGGAACCGACGTGACGATGAAACCGGTTCTGTCTTAGCGCTGTGTGTTTGTACCTCGCTCTTGCTGAAGGTGAGGCAGGGGTAGATGTCCTCGCGGTAAACCCTCTCCAGGAAGCAGCAGCTCCGGTCGAGCGTCGGCTCCTCCTTCCAGGCCTTGAACTCGCCGAACAGCTGGCCGTCCAGCTGCGCGCCAACGACAGCAGACGTCAGAGCGAAACTACGTTTATTGTCTTTCTAGAGTCTCGTTAGTCGTCGTCCTACCTCTCTGCACTCCCGCACGATGGGCTGCGTGGCCGACGGGTCGGGCTGCGTCCCCAGCATGGCCGAGGAGGTGCTCTTGTTCCTGCTGTGGCCTTTTCTGAAGGGGGTCTTGGCTCCTGCAGAGGGGAGCTCTCCGACGGGGGAGGTGGGGGAGGACAGCACCAGCGTCTTCAGGGCCTGGACCTCGGCCTGGAGGACATCAATCTGAAAACCAGGCAGAGAGTGGTTCTACAAAACCGCACAAAGATCCTCAGAGTGACAGTTTTGGTCGTGTGAATAAAACCCACTTTATCGCCTTTTATGATTTATTATCATTATTAATCAGAATCAGGACTTTGGTGAACGTTGAGTCCAGGATTAAAGGCAGCTTAAGAACTAGTTTCTCAACAATTATAACTCATCGGTTTGGCTGACATACAGCGGCTCCCTCCGGTCATAAAAGCTAATAAAACTGTGTCACTTCGGTTCCTAGAAGTCAGACCAAAGCCGCATTATTCTGGGAATCTCTGGTCGTTTCACACTCTGGTGGAACAGTGGGAGCTCAGGGCCGTCACCTTGCCCAGGGCTTCCTTCAGCTGTTTCTCAGCGTTGGCCTGCTTGACGTTGGCTTCTCTCACCATCTTGTGGGCCTCCTGGTAAAAACACACAAACGATCATGTTTAGAAACGTTGGGATGCAGTTTGATAGCGAAGCAGCGTCTACACAAGCTCAACTAAAGGAACGGTTTACAGCAAAAATCACAAAACGGTAACATAAAGCTCAGCATGTTGATTGGCTACTAAACATGTAAACAAGCTGCAGAAACACAGAGTCCCAACACCGTCTGAGGGAAAAGGTCAACACAAGACGAGAACATGAAGGAGAAGAAGAGCAGGAACGAGATGGTTTGAAGGCCGACGGATTCAGTCAGAAACCAATTTATGAAGCAGCTTAAAAAGACCTGATGCTCTTAGAAACAGTTTCCCCAACTGGAGGTGAACCAGAGTTTGTAAAAAAACAAAACAAAAAAGTGGTGTTTTGGCAGCAAAGGTACCCGAAAAAAACCCACAAATACAAATTTAACATAAAAAAAATAAAAGAAAAACTGAATTATTATCTGTAATTTACCAAAACGGGTAAAAATCTGTGAAATTAGTCTATTTTCCCATTTTTTTCATGCTTAAGTATTTTTAACTTTCAAATAACAGCATATATCTGTAAAATAATTATATCTCTGGTTGATTAAAATGCAGTAAAATTATATCAGTACAACAACAAATACATCTGTAAAAATGCAGGTTTTTAAAGTGGACATTAAGCATAATTTTGACCTGTTTTTTTTTAACAGTTAACATATAAATTAACATAATATTTAAATGTAATTTTATGTAATTATTATCAGGTTTCTGGTCTCCAGCACTGAACAAATGAGAAAAAGCCACAATAGTTTATTTTTTAAACGTCTCTACAGAGAATAAAGAACTTTAGTGGAGCCATAGTGACTCCACTCACAAAGAAGAGCGAAGAAATCCTGCGTTTTAATATTTTTATATTTCCTGTCTGGCCTCAGGAGGAAGGAAGTAAGGACTCAGAGGACAGACGGAGGACAGATGAAGGACAGATGAAGGACAGATGAAGGACAGACGGAGGACAGATGAAGGACAGATGAAGGACAGACGGAGGACAGACGGAGGAAGGCGAACCGACCTGGAAGAGGCTGGCGGTGAGTTCCTCCAGCTCCTGGCCGAGCTGGTCTCTGACTTTAGACAACCTCTCACACTCCTCATCCTTCAACAGCAGCTCCTTCCACACGCACACGCACACATACACGAAAAACAACCACGAAACAACACAAACAACACAACAGAACAACAACAGCCAAATGAACAAATCATAGCATGGCAACGACAAACAAAAAGAGATGAAGAAACAAAATAATTAGTGGAATGTGTGAGAGGACTGAACCGTCAGTTTGATCTCAAATCATAACAAAACGGAGAAAACATGAGTTAAAACATGCATTCAAATGAAATGTGGAAAACTACATGATGCTGGTAAACACACAGACACACACCATCCATCTGCACACGCTCACATCCAGCTACACTTTTTATTTTTATAGTTAAACTGAGCTCGTATCATGTTTGGAGGATATAAATATGAATAAGGATATAAAACGTTTTAATTTTGCAGCACTTTGTCAACCGCAGTACTCCAACATGTGCTTATGAGAACAAGTAAATAAATGAATGCATTGGTCACCGACCAATCAGAGCTCGCAACCTGTGTGATGTCATCAGGAAGGAGGAGGAGCAACAGACTGACTTCCTGCAGGAACGTAAACAAAACATGGCGTCCGAAGCCGTTTGTCTGATACAAAAAAAACCTAAAACTAAAAATTAGACCTGATGAGCGGGTATTTGTTCACGTGTGTTGTGTATCTGTGTGTGTTGTGTTGTGTGTCCGCATTGTGTTGTGTCTGTCCATGTGTGTGTCTGTATCTGTGTGTTGTGTACATGACAGTGTTGTGTTTGTGTATGAATGTGTGTGTGTCATTATGTGTCTGTGTTGTGTATCCGCTGTGTTTGTGTTGCGACTTTGTTGTCTGTGTGGTATGTCTGTTGTGCGTCTGGTTGCGTATCTGGTTGCGTGTCTGTCGTGTGTCTGCTGTGTGTCTGTTGTGTCACTGTTGTGTATCTGGTTATGTGTCTGTTGCGTGTCTGTTGTGTTTGTGTCTGTTGTATGTCTGCTGTGTATCTGGTTGTGTGGATATTGTGTGTCTATTGCGTTACCCTCTGGGCCTTTGCCAGCTCCTCCTTCAGTCTCTCGTATCCTTTCTGTTGTGTATCTATATGTGTGTATTCTGTTTTGTTTTCATTTTGCGTCCTTTGTGTGTCTGTTGTGCATCTGTTGTGTTACCCTCTGTGCGTCTGTTGTGTTACCCTCTGTGCGTCTGTTGTGTTTGTGTGTCTGTTGTGTATCAATGTGTGTATTGTGTTGTGTATCTGTGTTGTGTGTCCGTTGTGCATCCATTGCATTATCCTCTGGGTCTTTGCCAGCTCCTCCTTCAGCCTCTCGTATCCCTTCTGTTGTGTATCTATGTGTGTGTTGTGCTTCTGTTGTGTATCTGTGGTGTTGTATTGTGTTGTGTGTCCGTTGCGTTACCCTCTGGGCCTTTGCCAGCTCCTCCTTCAGCCTCTCGTATCCTTTCTCTCTGACCTCCATGACCGAGGGGCTGCGGAGCCTCGACAGACTGTCGCTCAGGGCGCTCATCTCCTCGCCGTCGTCTCCTGGGATACCGTCGGCCGACTCCGCCTCCAGGCCCGGTACGCTGTAACCACGGAAACCACATCGCTCAGTCACACTACGGCGGGACGTTTAGGACGTCCGCTCACAGCTCCGGGACGCCGGCGTTACCTTCCATTGTGGCTGTGTCGGGGCGTGGAGTACACCGGCTGCGTGGGGAGCTGGTCGGCCCTCAGCGAGGTGGGGAGGCCCGGGGGAGGAGCTCCCAGGGAGTGGGTCCGGTACAGGGAGGTGGGCGGGGCGCTGTGGCGGGCCGGGGGGCGCTGGTCCGCTTGGTTCTGCAGAGCAACAAGGAGGTCCAATGAGGAAAGAGAAACTTATCCGGGGAGGATTTGTGAAGCTAAAAACAACAAACTGAAGTAGAGTTCTGGAGCGAGTTTAACAAATCCAGGATTTGTCTTCGTTAACTGGCTTAACTAAACCCAACAACAACCACAGGGACACAAAGCTGGTCAGCAGCTCTGGAAGTCAACTCAGGGTTCCTGCATCCAGCTCGAAAACATCAAAACGTAGAAAAAATAAGTTGAATGATGCACTTAGATGAAATTTGATTTGTAATTCCTTTAAATTAAGACGATGCTCATGTATTTAGAGATCATGAATCTGTTGTCAGTCTGTGGTGGACTCATCACGATCCAGAGTCTCATTATGTGAATCTTTAAACTTTATAAGAACCACCAGGATTACGTTGGGTTTAGCTCAATAGTGAGGTTAGCTGTAAGGCTACAAGACACTCGTGTAAGACAACAGAAAATGAGAATCATGTGTCGTCAGAAGGTGGCAGCAAAGGAAGAAGCCGGAAAGTTGTTTGCTAACCGCTAAAAAAGCCCCTCAAAGACGAAAAAGAACCAAACCAAACTGTCAAAAATCAACTCTAGTCGTCACTGGCTGCAGGTCTTAGCTGCTAAACCGTCCGACCCATCAGCAGTCAGTCCTACAACAACCTGAATAAAGTGGAGTCTGGATGGAGACGACGCCGTGGACCTACCTGAAGGTCAGGTGTGGTGGGCGAGGCCAGGTTCACCTCATGGAAGCCCTCCAGAGTCTCGGCATTGTTCTGACCGCTGCTGCAGGCCATAGCAGCTGCTCTCAGACATCATACAGTCTGCAGACAGAAAGCACAGCTGCCATCAGACGCTGTTACAACAGCAGCAAAGAGGAGCAGCAGGAGGCGAACAAAGGCTTCTGCAGGACTGTAATTAACGAGTTTGGTCAGAAACACGTTCAAAGTCGCACAAATGACTTTCAAGTGCAGCGTTAAAAGGAGCTGTGGCTGATGTGCTTCTATCAGAGGTAATGCAGGATTAAATCCTCGCTGTTAAAAAGGAGAACGTTTATGTGAAGCTTCACGATGTCTGAGTTCGTCAAATCAAGTGAGCTTCTGTCTTATAAGTATAAAAATCCTTCAATGTAGACACTGTGCAGAAGAATTCATAAACAGTGGAAACTCTTTGGGCTAATCTGTAGCTTCCTCTAAACCAAAGACTTTCAGCAGCTTGAGGTGCTGCTGCTCATCCTACCATGGTGCTGCTGCAGATGGAGGCTGGAGCTTCAGGTGGACGATCAGTCGCTCAGACAGACATCAGACAAACCAGGAAGGTCTACAGGTGAAGCGGAGACTCAAAAAGGCCGACGGGTAGTGATTGTCCTGAACCTGAACACAGACAGACAGAGGACTCGTTATTTTATTATCTACAGCCCAACACAAGGTTTCATTATAACTCAGAACACAATCACTGTGATAAGGGTTTTATGACTGATACTGTCTGGAGGCTGGTGGTTGGTTGTTTATGGTTTACTGTTTAGTTGGTTGGTTGTTGGTTGCTAGGTTGGATGTAGTTGGTTGTTTTTGTTTGGCTGCTGTTGGTCGGGAGCTGTTAGTTGGTTGGTTCTTTGCTTGTGGTTGGTTGTTTATGGTTTAGTGTTTAGTTGGTTGTAGTTGGTTGGTTGGTTGGTTGTGGTTAGTTGTTTGGTTGGTTTTGGGTGGTTGGTTGGTTGGTTGGACGGTCATGGTTTATTGTTAAGTTGATTGTGATTGGTTCTTTGTAGTTGGTTATTGTGGTTAGGTCGCGGTTGGTTGGTTGGTCGGTTGGCTAGGTTTTGGTTGGTTGGTTGGTTGGGTTTTGGTTGGTTGGTTGGTTGTGGTTTATTGCTTACATGGTTGTCTGTTCTTTGTGGTTGCTTGGTTCTTTGTTTATTTGGTTGTGGTTAAATGGTTGGATGGTCATGGTTTATTGCTTAGTTGATTATGGCTGGTTCTTTGTAGTTGGTTGGTTGTGGTTTATTGTTTACATGGCTGTGGTTGGTTCTTTGTGGTTGCTTGGTTGCTTGCTTGGTCATTTGGTTGTGGTTAATTGGTTGGTTGACTCTTTGTGGCTGGTCGGCTGGTTGGTTGGTTGGTTGGTTGCTGTTGCGAATACTTGGACAGTTGGTTCTTTGTGGTTGGTTGGAGGGGCAGCAGCAATGAACAACACAAAACACACAAAAACACTATTTTAAAAAAATCTATAGATTTTAAAAAATCGAAATATAAAAAAAACAAAATGAGGTAGAAGAGGAGTAAAGAGATGTTTGTAATCTGATCAGTGATCAATGATTTTAACACAGCTGAACAGGAACTTAACAAATAATCATAATAATAGTGTTAAAGTATAATTAATAATCAGTTCCAGTCCGGCAGAACCACAGAACCCAGTCTGTCGTTGGACTGTGACTCCTGTCAAACATTCAAAGCATGAAGGTGTTTCTTATTCTTCTCTTCATGGCTTCATTAAAAACACTCTGATGACTTCTGCTGATAATAATGGCTGCATGTGGCGCCTCACAGCAGTTACACATTTCCAACAGTTTATGATCCGGTTTATTAGTCACACTGAACCCTGGTGTTACTTTCGGGTCAAACTCCAGCGGACGGACCGGAGCTTCACGTCGGACTCCGTTCCGGCTGAAACCAGCGCTCACGCCTGAGCTCCTCTGGTATTATTACTATCATCACCGTCTCCTGCGGTTCTCTGGCGGTTCCTTTGTTTTGCCTCCTCAGCAGGATGCTCAACACACCGGTCCCACCTGCTCAGCCCGGTTCTGTGCTCCAGTGTGTGTTCACTGGGCGTGAGTGTAAACACACAAAAGGCTGAATTCAGCAGCGAGCACAAATAAAGCTGACGTGACTCATAAAACCTGTCGTCACGCCCCGGGTTTATTTAAAGAACCCGAACCATGACAACATTCTTCTGCTCACGTCTGTCATTATGAGCGATTACGGGTTCTGTCTGTAATCGGTGAAGTATGACAACAGAACACTCCTGAGCGGATCCGTGGCGTCACCGCTCAGAGTTTCACTGCTGTTGTTGGACTGGTGGTGCGTTCAGGGACAATCAGACGTCACACATGAAGCCTGACACAAGCTGGTTTTTTGTCTTTTAATCGATATTTTGCAGCTTTTAAATCACAGAAAAGAGGCATGTTGAATTTTAAAATAATCTAAAATGAAAACTGGGTGAAAATCTGTATTTTTATAAATGTGTGCTCTTATAATTGCACCATTATTGTATTTAAATCAGCCAAAATATTATAATTTGACACTTTTAAAGTATTCCATCCTTTTTTTTTGGCACCCTTGCTGCCAAATTTCTATTTTTTTTCCACACAGTGTCGCCTTTGTGGCAAATGTCCACGATTTAAAAACAGCTGAGATACAGAATAACATCTAATGTTCATTATTCAATGATTAACTGATTATTAATTAAGCAGCCAGCGTGCTTTTATGCTTTTATTTTAACAAAAAGAAGAAAAATGCCAAAAGACAACACTTTAAGCTGTTTTCTCTTTGTTGTTTCTGCTCTTCACTTCATTATTTTATTGTTTGTTGTCACTCGACAGCATCATGAGACGCTGCAGGAGATAAAACGATCAGTCGTCGCACCCAAAGAGGATTTTCTGACACCTGAACTGTAAACAGCACATTCGTTAATCAAATTATTTCGTCTCTTCATGGGATTTACTGACAACGAGAGAACACATTCAGTGTTTCTCAACACACAGATCTAAAAAAATAAACCTACAAAGTCAGAAATGGACAAAATAACAACTGCATTTGGGTGAACGTGAACAAAATCTCCAACATTATGACCTTTAAGATCAACAGTACGTGTCTCAGTCGGTGCTAAAACTTGGGGATAGTAAAAAAACCAAGTTAGGATTTTTTTTTTTAAACAATTAGTAAAGTTTTTGTCTGCCAGACCAAAAATATGTAAGAAGAGCATCAGAAATGACTAAAACAAATATTGTGTGATAGAGATGCAATAAATAATTGATTATTTGTCAACTATTAAATGAATCTGCAACTATTTTGATAATCACTTCGTGTCTAAATCCTCTGATTCCAGCTTCCTGAACATGAATATTCTCTCATTTCCTTCCTCCTCTATGATAATAAACTGAACAAGCTGGTTTTTAGGAAACACTGATGGACATTTTCTGACATTTTACAGAGAAAACAACTCATCAGGTTAATAAGAAATGCGTAAAAACTTCTAGTTATTGGTACTGAGTGGATTAAAAACTACAGTTTCACTCCATCAGGATAAAGTCATTAAGCGAAGAGCATCAAACCCAGACGGCGTTCAGATCTCGGTCCAGGATTTAGTCCACGTGATGACGGACAGGTGAAACCCCACCTGCCTCGCACCAGCCAATCCCCTCTCTTCCCCTCCTGCCCGTCTCCATGGCTACCGCTCCTGGAGAGCCGGCGGTAACCGGACCCGGTCGCCGAGGGATGCTGTCCAGGGATCGGGTTGCTGCGGCCGCCTGCTAAAAGCTCGTCCCCGGTGTTTACGGGCTCTAAGGCGGCTTCAGTTCGTCCTGAACGCTCAGAACAAGTCGACCGAAGAGCTGCAGCAACGACCGCAAGCTGAGAGACGAGGAAACACGAAGCGACGCCGGGACGGAAACAGAACCTCATGTTTTCACTCAGACGGTGTTCTGCTGCTACGCTGGTCCGACTGGACCCATTATAAACCTGCTCAGTGGGTTTGTTAAAGGCTGACAAGTCAACCCGGGTTGTGTTTCATTAGTGGAGATTTTAGATAAAACATTTAAACATTAAATATTGCAAAGGCCTGTCATTGATAACGAGACTCCATCATTAATCAGGATTAGCTCAGTATGTAAACACACAGCAAATACCAACAGACAGCAGGACAGACGTAAACGATAAATCAATTAGTTGTTGGTAATAATTTAACTTATTAAAAGTACATTAATCAATAACAGAAAAAAGAAAGTTATGTTGGCAGCAGAGAGCATTTTAAGGGTTTAGCTGTAAAGAGAACCACGACACAGACTGGTGTGAAGGTTAATGTCTCCAGTATTCAAGACGAGATTAAACGAGGACGATGTTAATTAAACCAAGTGGAAAATTTAACGTAGTAAAAAAATCTATATATTTTTTTAATTATCCCTTTTTATTTTTTTGCATTTTTTAAACAGTTTTTCACAGATTTTTTTTTTAACAAATTACTGTTATTTTACTGATTTTTTAAAAAAAAAAAAGAAGATAATATTTAATAAATATCACAGAAAAATGCACATCAAATTAACAAATGGTAATTTCTTCTTCTAAAATTATTTGACCATTATATTGCAGTACTTCTACTATATTTAAATGACCATAAGATACACTTATTTTTTTTTATTTTTTGGGGGGAAAAAGCCTTTATAAAGAAGAAATATGTATATTGAGGGTTTTAAAATGTTAAATAATTAATAAAATTATTTTTCTCTTTTGTTAAATGACAGATAATTCATATTTTTTCTGTGATTTTATTAATTTACATGTTGACTGTAAAATAAATAAAATATGGTCAAAATTTTTAATGTCCACATCAAACAAATCTGCATTTCTACGACTGTGCGATGTCAAAAAATTACAGTTTTACTGCATGTAAAACAGCTAAACTATCATGATTACAGCCGCTGTGAAAGCAGCAAACGTCCTCGTTTATGGTGACTGTTGTGCTTCTGGTTCAGTTGTTGCTGGTTGTGTTTCTGCAGGAGAGACGTCTGTCAGTTAGAACAGATCGATGAAGTTAATCTGACTTTAGGACTTTATGTTGCAGGACTTCAGACAGTTAATAAAAATAACACTGCTGGAAAATACCAATTATCAACCCTAATAATCAGCCAATCGCCACCAAAGACTAAAGCTGGAACCATGCAGGTAATATGAGTGGTGTCTAGTTTATAATTAAAGCTCCGTCCAGTTAAAACGACTCAGCAGCAGGTGAAAGCAGCTAATTAACGCTAATTGTGGCGTTTTCACAGAAACTGTAATCTGCTGGTTAAACTTAAACACATCCAGGAAATCTTCTCCATCAGCTGACTGTCGTGTCTTAAAGATTTTCTCCATAAAACAGAGTCCATATTAAACACATCTGTTCTTCTATTCTCACTCTCAGCTGGTTGAGTTTCTCTGAATCCCTGTTTCCTCGCCGCTCAGATCCCCTCCGTCCTCCAGCAGGAAGCTTCTCAGACGATTTACATAAAATCTGCATCGCTCACCGCCGCCTACTACCTCATGAATAATGCACGTTTCCTTACGCTGCAGCTTCTCCAGCCAGTGGAAGCTGCAGCTGTAAATAAGCCACCATAGAGTGGATCTGAGCAACCTGCTGCACGACACGGCGTTTCATCGAGTCATCGCACCGTAAAGCATCCACGGGTTTATAAAGAATATTTACTGGCAGCTTGTTAGACAGCCACAGAACAGACGGATATAAAACATGGAGGAATGACGTGAAGGCCTCTGAACATCCTAAACACGATCACATGAGCAGGTTGGTTGGTGGAAAACGTTGTGATGACGTTAAACCTGGAGCTGCAGGAACTAGTGACCAGATAAAGAATCAGCAGAAATAATTAGGAGGTCAAACGATGGATTAAAAAAAGTGAAGTTCTGCCCCGGTGACGCTGCAACACCTCCACGTTTAAAACTGACACTAATAATGTAAAGTTTAATATTATTTTCCACTTTAACCATTTCATGTGTTCAACCCTTTACACGTCAGTTCATTTATGTGGTAAAACTGTATATTTATGGGGGAAAAAACACATTTTCCCCCATTTACTACATGATACTTTAATATTTCATTGCCACAGTGTGAGATGTGTGAGTGATTAGGAACTTCTGATTAATTATTATTTTCTTTATAAGTCACAATCAGGATCTTAAAGACAAAAACGTTTGCATCAAATATCATCTATAAAATAAAATAAATTAATATTAATTCCTTACAGTCAGTGTCTACATTTATCCTGATCATAACGACCAACTCTTCATTAACTTTTAGGATTTTAACGCTTCAAATGCTGGTTTGTTTGCAGAAAACACACGTTGTTTCTCAATTATAGTTTCTCTATTAACAAATAGAAGATTGATATAAAAAAAATAAAATAAATCAGAGCATTTACTATATAGATTTTTTTCTTTCCATAAATAAAAATGTGTTCTTTACAAATAAACCAGAATTTAAAAGAGCTAAAATCCTAAAAATGTCATCACATATAAAAACATATATATACACTTTTTTATTTTTTTGGTGTTAGCTTAAAACAAACAAGTAAATAAAATTTTTAAAAAAAAAGTCATACTCAGGACCTTAAAGACAAAAATGTTTGCATCAAAAATCAGCCATAAAATGCTATAAATGAACAATATTTCCTACATTTTCAAGATTCTAGCCCTTTAAATTCTGGTTTGTTTGCAGAAAACATGTTTTTTCATGGAAAAAATAAATCTATATAGTAAATGCTCTGATTTTTTGTATTATTAGAACAATCTGTGACGCGTCATTGATTAGAAATAATATTAATTTGGTGTTCGCTTGAATAAAAGTCTCACTCAGGACCTTAAAGACCAAAATGTTTACGTCAAAATTCAGTATTATTTCCCATTTCCACTGATTTAATCAGTCCTGATCATAACAACCACATATTGACTCATATTCAGGATTTTAACCCTAAAAATGTTTGTTTGTTTACACAGCACCACTGTTGTTTTTATTGATAAACAAGGAACAAAAAACTCAGTATTTCCCACATATTGAAAGTGAAGGGGATTGTTTTCTAGTATCACAATCTGGGATGTGTGAGTGATTAATAACACTGATTCTGGTGGATTATTATTTTACCTTAGTGTCATACAGCCTGATTATGTTCTCTGTTCTGTCTTTTACTTTGGTTTTTCTGATGTTTTTTGGATGGTTTGTTGTGGTTCAGTTTCAGTATTTGTGTTTCTAACCAGGCATTATGTCTAAGGCTGGTTTTGTGGCAACACTATAGTGGCAGAAAGGCCATTAAGATTTGATTGATTCTCATTCATACTCCTTCAATAATCTGTAATAAATCTACTGATCAGCTTTCAGACTGACATGTTACTGAAACCTGCCTCCTCAGCCTCCGTCCACATGATTTGCATGCGAACAAAACCTCCCAGAGAAGCTGTTCCCGGTGTTTCCTGGTGTTTTGCAGCCCAACCTGCGGCTCCGTTATCAGCCTCATATGACTCCGGACAGGCTGCGGCTTGTTCGCTCCGACGCACCTGTGACAGCAGCTAGCATCCGTTAGCCGCCGCCGCTAGCGTCCGTTAGCCACATGCTAACAGCTGCAGCACCAGGGGGTGGATGGGTGGGGGGGGATGAGGGAGAGAGGAGAGGAGGAGGCTGAAAGACAGCCGCTGTTATGTGACACTGAGCGGATGAAAGATGCATGAAAGCGGCGTCTCTCGGCGGAGCTTCGGTTTCGCCGCTAGCCGAGGCTAACGGTGCATTCGCGTTCAGGGTTAGCCGCGCTAGCTAGCGTTAGCTAACCAGTTGACATCTGGTCCATTCAGAGAGGGAGGATTTTATTACTGCCGCCAGCTGTGACAGTTATATCAGAAATAAATCAACAAACTGAACACGTGAAAACAATTTCAATAAACAAAACGTGTGTTTTCTTTAAAATCTGAATATTCGTGATTCAGCCGCTGGAGGATTACTGATGATGAGGGGAAACCCTGCTTCCATTACCGGCCACCGCGCACAGCCCGCCTACGGGGGCTAATTTCTCCGATATAACGAACCACACAGGGATGCATCGAGATTATAAATTAAGTAAACAACGTGAAATATGCGCAAACCTCGACAGACCGACTGAGTTTTTGCCGAAATGTGGGGAAGCTGAGAAATAGTACGACGCCGTCCGATAATGGGCGCACCTAGCTTAATGATGCATGTAGCCGAGCCGAGCTAACGGAGCAAGTTCGTCCAACTCGGCGCAGAAATACGAGACAAAAAACAGCAACGGCAGGTTAACCGTGGACTCACCGGAGCTCCGTGCGTGTGCAGCAGCCGAGGCCGGTCGGTGTTCCTCCCGGTAACGTGGAGAAAACACCCCGAGAAGGAGCCAAACAAACGGACCCTCCGGAGCCGCTGTTGACGCAGAGCGGAGTACGGGAGGTGCGTTCAGGGACCGCCGGGAATCTGGAGCACCGTCAACACCTCCAGGTTGAGGTGACGGTGCAGCCTAGTGACCAGAGCCACTCAGTGCACGAAGCAGAAACCAGATCCACATGTGTGTTTTTGTTTAAATTAACTGCTAAATTACAAAATACAGTGAAAGCATCTTCATATAATTTCATGAGATTGAAAATAAACACAAAACTACAAGTTCTGGAGAAATAAAACAAGAAAAACAAAAAGGTTTTAGTGATTTATGCATCTTTAAATAGAGAGAATATTCACATTAAGATGGTAAAGCTGAAATATGCTTGATAACAGACATAATGAAGCAACGTGTGGATAAAGTTAGAAGCTAAAAATGTCGATATATCATGATGCAGAATACAGAAATGTTTATTGTTTTATTATTTTAATGGGTTAAAACAACAAATAAAAAAGTAAAAATGCACAAAGCTTCAACTAATTTCATAATACTGTGAAAAGATTTCATATGAACACTGAATTCTAGAGGAATAAATGAGAATAAGAGGAAAGTTTTAGGGACATATAACCTGATATATTATTATTAATAATAACATAATAATAATAATAATAATAATAATAATAATATATTAACATATACCCATGATACATTCTGATTTAGATCAAACTTTAAAGCTGTAAATATGATTTTAATGAGTCGTATTGACATAATAAAGCTGCATCAACTTCATATTGTGTTTAATTTAAACTGAAACTTCTGCATTAAGTGATTAAAAAACTACATTTAAGTCACAGTAATATAATAAAATTAGCTCGATAGCTTCGTCTCCACCACGAGGTCCAGTCAGAACGACCAAATATTCATTAATTTTCATGTTTTTGACTCTTTAAATGTCATTTTATTTACAGTCATAGTTTTCTTTTCAGGCCCTAAAGATTTAAAACTTGTGTTTATTTCATTAGTTATTAAGTTATGGCTCATTTAAAACTCATCTGATTTTTGATTCAAAGCTGGTTCTCGCAATTTAATTTAGTTTATTGGCTGAACATGATCTGATTAGAAGTTGATCAAACAGACGTTTAAACATGTTGTTAGCGTGTAAACATGAAAACACGACACCAAACAATGACAAACAATCTGTCTGGTCGTTAATAAAACCCATAAAAACTCATTTCTGTTTTATTAAAGTGAAAGAAAAACGTTCCCCTGCTGGTTTTAAAACGTCTCCGATGTGTTTGTTTGTTTCCTCCTGGAGTCGCTGCAGCTGCAGCACACCAGCTCACCTTCCATCCACCAGGTCAGTCACACACGTTTGAACCCGAAACTGATTCAGAAGAAGAAGAATGAAAGTCGCACCCTGAAAGCTCTGAAACTCACCTTCAGCAGGTATTTAAAGTATTTGAAGTATTTAAAGTATTTTATATGAGTGTTGTTCTGACGGACGGCGGCCAGCAGGGGGCGCTAACAGCTCACCAATCACCCTGGAGGTCTGCTGAACTTCCCTGACCTTTGCTGGTTTGTTTATCAGCTGATTTAGTTTGTTTTGGTGCTTATTAATGACGTAAACGTGTTTGTTTAGAAAAGACAAATACGCTAAATTCTGTTTTGTTTTGCTTCATTTTAAATCCAGTAAAATATCGATTAACTTGCCAATAAAAGAATCTTCTGATGGTCAAATAATCAGATCTTGTTGTGCCAAAAATGACTGAATCACCACTAAAACTCCTGTCAGTGTTTTTAGAATAAATATTGTAATTTCAGCACTTTTATTTCCATCTATGGAGCCTAATTTAACAACTTAATACACATTTTTGGATATAAAACCAGGCGTCACACTCATGTAGTGACAGACGACATCTCACAGGTTATGTAGGATTTTGTAAAACGTATGTAGAGATAGAAAGATTAATTATAAACACATCACAGCTTCATAAATCTCATTATTCTGGTTTGTGTTTAAATTAAATTAAAGCAACAGCAAATGATCTGTGTTTAGGTTTTATCTATGATTTAATACAAACAACACGAACAAAACTGAACTCAGGGTTGTTTTTTCTCCTTTAATGTCTCACAAACAGCTTAGAAATAAAGTTTTAACAGGATGTGAAGGTGAATTAATGTTCTGGGTTCATCCGGGTACAAGAAAAACAGGATCATCGTCGAACGTCCCACAGTTCCTGAACTCATCCCGGTGAAACTCTGAGGTGTGTTTCCACCGCTGTCACCTGCCAACGCACCTGAATGACACGCACACGCTCACACGCACACGCCCCGCTGTGGGCGGAGCCTCCCGGCGGGTTTATAGTCGTGCGTAACGCGCCGGTGTCATTACGCACGCGGCGTCTCCAAGAGCGCAACAGGAGCGACGGGAATATTTAAAGAGGAAAAAAAAAAGAAAACTCTTCTCCAGCAGAGATTCGAGTCGATTCTGTTCCTCTGAAGGAAAAACAAACTAATTTCCTGCTTCTGGGTTACGATGACAGACCTGTGGAGGTGTTCGGTGAGTAGAAGGACAGCGTTTTACTCTCATTTATTTCCAGATAAAAGTAGAAAATGAGGCTTAGACTCACTATATTTGCTCTTTGATGGTCCTGAAGACGCTTTCTACGAATAATTCTGCCACATTTATGTCAGGATGCGATCAAACAGCGACACATTCTGCACACATGTTAGAAATGTCGCAGGAAAATGCGATAAATCAGCGGATGAGCTGTTTTTACTCTTCTGCTTCTTTTACGTTAAATAAAAGCGTGAATAAAGTAGAAATATGTGAAGTGCAAGTCCCAAAAAAATGCAAATATACAAAATGTAAACATGTTTTAGTACAAAAGTAGGTTTAAGATTGAGTTTTTAGTGGCAGGATGAACAAAGAAGCTTAAGATGTGAGCGAAAAATTAGTTTTTTCTCTTTCTGACTGTGAAATTTCGTCATTTTAGAGGCTTAAAGAGGGAAAACTTTTCTGTATTTAACAGGATTAAAGCAAAAACAATCAGTTTGATGACATAAGTGTAAAAACAAGTGTGTTTTCTGCAGGTTGGAATCAAAAAGTTTGTTTTTTTAGAGCTGAAATAATGAGCTGTGTTTGTGTCAGAAAACTGATTTATAACCTGACAGTGAATAAAAACAGAGAAAACCTGAAGACACTCAGCTAAAGGAGGATTTATGTAGTTGTGTAATTACTGAAGTCAACAGAGACGTTAACGAGCATCACATCAGCGTGTAAATAAGAGGTTTGTTGGTTGACTCACTGATTGTTTGATCGGGTTTAGGGTTTGGTGTTCCGCTGCCTGAGTCATGATGAATGTGAGCAGCGAGTCACTGAAACAGCAACATGGACCAGAACTGATAAGAGTTACGCAATAATCTGTGATAAAAACAAGAAAATACCACCAGAGAAAAGTGATCAACGTTTCTGTCATAAATAAAACCAACAGGTGAACTTTGACACCGTCTGGTAGTTTAATATTTTCCTCAGAACTGTTGGTTTATTTACCCAGAATTCAATCTGGTCATTTAAACTCACCGTTAAAAAGTAAACGGCGATAATTCACGTGTTAGAAACAACCAGAAAAAAGAAACTGTGACGTTTAGAAAGAGCTCAGCTGAAAAAACAAAACAAAAAAAAACATTACATTTTCAGTATTGTAAATTAATACATTTTTTCCTGATATTTTACAACAAAATCATCTGTAATTTATGAAAACATGGAAAATCTGTGAAAATAATCGTTAAAAAATATTTGCTTTTTTTCAGTCCTTAATAAATTTTGTTTCTGTAAAACAACAACAAAAAATTTTTTTAATTACAGTTTCACAGATTTACATATTGTAAAAAATGTGTAATTGTGCTTTACAACTTTGTAAAGGATTAATTACTATTTATAAAAATAAATATTTCTGTTGACAGTCATCATGTACATTTAACTTTTTTCTTCAATTTTACTTTATATTATCTTTAATTTCAGGAAAAGCCTGTGTAAAACTTTAAAAAAAAAATTGTTTAACATTTTTAAAAAATGTTTGCTCTATAATAGTAATAATTTTTCTTACCTGAAAATATCTGTAAAATTATACTATTTTTGCAGATTTACATGTTGTAAAAATAGTATAATTTTATTGTTAAGTGTTGAAAAAATAACTATTTGTCATTTGTAAAAATACAGACTTATTATCTGTAATTTAACAAAATGAGAGGAAAATTCAGTAAATTAACAGTAAATTGTTGATAAACTACAGTTTAAAAATAAACAAACAAACTTTTTTTTTTTTTTTTTTTTTTTTTTTTTTACAGTCTGGGTAAAAATAATCCAACAATAATCTAAAAAGACATTCGGCCAGAATGACAAAAATAATAAATAATAAAACTCTGTAGTCTCAGTAAAACCTACAGAGTTCATTCTGCTGCTGTCAGTTTTCTCGTCGTCTTTATTCTTTATTTCCGTCTCAGCGTTTATTTGTTCCTCTGACGTTTCATCAGAAACGTGTCGGCTGCACAGTTTGGTGGTTTCGGCTTCAGGAACCGGTTCTGCAGCGAGGTGGAACCGGGCCGACTGGTCCGTCAGAGAGCCGGACGTTCCTCTGCAGTGCTGCAGCGTTTCCAGTTTGTAGGACAGGAAGCTGTTTATCTGACAGATGAGCTGATTAGACGATGGCAGAGTTTAAACCCGTTTGTCTAAACGTTCAGCCGCTAAACTGGTTTAACTTCCTGGTTTTATAATAACTTCTCATTAAAGAACCAAGAAGACGTTTCATCAGAGCAAAGATCTTTTATTTATTCATCTAAATGAAAACATAGGACGTAAATAAACAGTTTTCTGTGATTAAATATTAATTTTTACTCGTGAATTAACCCAAATTATAACAAATATAAGTCAGAATAAGAACAACGTGATGTTTAACTGAGTACATTTAGTAAATATTTCTCCTTTCAACAGGAAATAAAACTTTTACAGAAACTTTTTGAAGGTATTTTGTGTGTATTAACTGTAGTTTTGCATCTTTTTGTAGTTTTCTTTGTGTCGTAGCAGAATGTTTATGTTTCTTCGTAGTTTTTTGAGTCTGTCGGTAGATTTTTTTTGTGTCTCTGTAGGTTTCTTTGTGTATTAACTGGACTTTTTTGGGTGTATTAGGAGAACTTTTAAATCTCTAGAGTCTCACTGTGTCTTGTACTATTTCTGTCTTTGTACTTCTTTTGTCTCTTTGTGGTAGCTTTGTGTCTTTTTGCAGTACTTTTACTTCTCTGTGTGGTTGTGTTGTTTCTCTTTTGTAGTTTCCTGTGTGTACTAGCAGTAGTTATACATCTCTACAGCCTCTGCTTGAAGTATTTTTGTGAGTCTTTGTACTCGTTCTGTACCTCTTTGAAGTACTTTTGCATCCCTGTGTGGTCGTCTTGTGGGTAGTCGTCGTATTTCTGTGTTTGTTTGTAGTTTTTTACGTGTTTTAGTCGTACTTTAGCGTCTCTACAGTCTCACTGTGACTGTTTCGTCTCTGCTTGTGGTATTTTTATGAGCCTTTGTACTCGTTTAGTCGTATTTTTGTGTTTGTTTGTAGTTTTTTCTGTGCATTAGCAGTGGTTTTGTGTGTTTTTGAGGGAGTGAGTTGATGCACCAGAACCTCGGCTGGTTCTCCATCCTCTGGTCCAGCAGACTGACGGCTCTTTAACAGGTGTTTCATTTCCTGACGTCTCGTTCTTCTTCTTCTTCTTCTTCTTGTGCTTCCAGACTCTCGCTGGACACATGATTCGATGATTCTTCGGGCTGAACCCAGATGTGATTCTGGTTTTAATCGAAGCCTCCGTCGGACATGTCAGCTGACCTCTGACCCCTCAGCATGGACGTCCGTCTCCACGGCAACTCTCAGCTCCACTACCGGGTCAACGGAGGCCGAAGCTCCGGACCAGGAGTGAGTATCTGAAACCTGCCGAGTCATCAGTTGTTCAGGGAGAAAAGGAGGCGGTGTTCCTCTGAAACGGAACTGAATTTACCTTTTTTTCATTATTTGGGACCCAATACGAAAATATTTTGGAGTTTTGAGAATTTCATATGGTTTCAGACTTTTGCATTTTCACCCCCAAACACATTTTAGCCGTTTTAAAGCTTCAATATCTCCAGAAATGTAACTCATACATCCATGAAATTTGGTGAGAACACACACAGAATAGTTTCCAGTAGATTCAAACCATTGAATGTTTCCAGCAGAAGACACATTTTTGGTTATTGGCGCTTAAAAATGGTGAAAAAGTGCAAAATTGTCAAACTAATTTGGTACTGGGGCTCTAGAAAGGTCCTATAAGTGTTTACGTATATGGATGTATTTTAATTTTCTACTAAAAATACAGACTCTGGTCGACATTTGACCAACTTGTGAGGCTCTGACATCAGTAGAATATGATGTGGGGCAAATATGGCACGACGAAATCTCTGTTTTTAGATATTTTGGACTGGAACAGGAACTTTCTGGTTCCTCAATACCCCCCTACAGTTTGAATATTTTGCACCTGAACATTTTCAAGGAGCAATAATTAAAAATACAAGTTGTGCTGGAACAGTTCAGCCACTTAGACCTTCTAGAAACTATTCATTCTGTGTTCTCTCTGAACTTCGTGGCTCTGGGAGTTTGATTTGTTGAGACGTTGAACCCAAACTGTGGCGTCCCAGCGTAACCTTCCAAACAGAGAGTGTCAACACGGACGGCCATTGTTCATTTCCAGTTTCAAACCGTTAGTCGATGTAACTTCAACCTTCACCGTGTGTTTATGGTTGTAACCATGGCAACAATTGTCCTCCAGTTGAACCATGACACTGGTGATTCCTGGACAAACACGCTTGTGTGCTTCAACCTCAAGAACCAACAACTTGTGGATCGTGTTCAAAGGGGAAGGACAAATTAACTATTTGTTATTCACATTTTAGTACTTTGGACGGCGCTAAGCTAGCTGTTTTCCTTTGTTTTCAGTCGTTATGCTAAGCTAAGCTAACTAGCTGCGGGCTCTACCTCTCTGTTTGGTGTGCAGGTGTCAGAGTGGCATTTAGTTCCATTAGGACTCTTGTAGCGACAGAGAATCTTTAAAAGACTGCGTCTTCAAATGGCTCTTTAAAGAACCCCCAAAGAGAACCTACGAAGAATGGTTCCTTTGTCGACCCTAAATGCTGCTCCAAAGAACTTGAGCAAAATTCTGATCTTTAAGGAACCATTTCATAGACAGTTAATGGTGGTATTTTGGTAACGGGGCTTGATAATTGTTTTTTTAAGCGAAAAAAGTCAAGAATCTGCAGCATTTCTGGGTTCCTTCCATTAGAACAAGTTTAAAGTGTCAGACAGAACCAGAACAACATGTTAGAAGATGGGATTTAAGAATCCCTGATGGACATTTCTCTGTTTTTTGATGTTTTGTAGAACAAATGATCACTCAAGAGTCTTCACTACTTTTCCATCCTCTAAGTACAGATGTTTTTCAGTTCAGTTCAGAACCTCAAGAACCTACTCTTCAATTGGCTCCTTGAAGAACCTCAATGAGAACAAACAAAAACGGTTAATGTAGACAACACAGACGCTGCTCCAAAGAACTTAAGCAAAGACAGGTTGTTTTAGGAACCATTTTAATGATAGTTCTTGGCTGTAGTAGCAAAAAACAAGTGAAAATTGCAGCATTTTTTGGTTCCATCCATTGAAACACCTTCAATATTTTGGGTTCTTGGTCAAACAGAACCAGACCAACATGTTGCTAGACGTGGATTTATGAAACCGTGACGGACGTTTCTCTGTCTGACCCTTGAGTGCTTTTCCATCCTCTAATTACAGACGTTTTTCAGTAGATGATGGCACTTTAAGAACCACCTTTTCAAACATATCCTTAAAGAACCCCATAAAGAACCAATAAAAATGGTTCCTCTGGACCACATAGACGCTGCTCCACAGAACTTTAGCAAAGACAGGCTGTTTAAGCAACCATTTTATGGATAGTTCTTGGTTTGTAGTAGCAAAAAATAAGTAAGAATATGTGAGGATTGCAGCATTTTTTGGTTCCGTCCATTGAAACACCTTCAATATTTCGGGTTCTTGGTTAAACAGAACCAGACCAACATGTTGCTAGTAGTGGATTTATGAAACCGTGACGGACGTTTCTCTGTTTGACCCTTGAGTACGTTTCCATCCTGTGAACAAAGAGGTTTAACGGCAGATAATCGACTTTAAGAAGCTTCATGTCTGTGAGAGCGAGCTGAAGATTTGTCCTTTAGCTGCTCCTTTGTCTCCTTAAACACCGTAAACACAGCCGGCGTATCCGATGACCGGCCGATAAGTCAAACTGTAATTCACGCCGCCGTGTTTACACAAAGCAGCCAGTCATCTTACACCTGCTCAACAACTTAATCCGCTCACATGCCTCAGGGATGACTTTTATTATCGACTCACAACAAACCGGTTCAGCCGCAGTTTTCTGGGTCCTGAGCTGCTTCGGCACAATGGGCGTCATTGAGCGCGGCAGAAACCGGCGTTTATCTCGGCCCGGTTTCACTTGGGTGTTGCTGCAGGTGTCTTTGTCTGCGCAGCAAAACAAGGATCTCAGCAAAGCCTGTTGTGGCGTTTTTAATAACAGCGATGTCAGCAGCGAGCCTCCGATCGACCGCCGGCTGAAGGTCATCGGCTCCAAATAGACTTAACGAGCAGCTTCAGTCGGAGGCCTGCCATCAAAACAAGGCTTCTGTTGACCACCTGGATCAGAAATCTGTGTTCTGTTCACGTTCAGGCGCAGAAACACTCATCAAACTGTGGATAAAAACGAGCTGTAGTGAAGTAGAGCTGAAAACATGGTTCAGTTTGGAGGTAAATGTGAACTTGTCTGTAGACATGGTGACAACATCTGCCCACAAAGACAAAAAAAAATCAAATATTTTCAAGAATTATGCAAAAAAACAGCCACGTTTTAGCTTTATTTTACTGCACTGCTGATTCTGTCCATGGATCTGACATAATCTAACATATTTAGATGTTGATTTTACTGTAGTTTGTCTCCTTTGAGTTCATTTCTGGGTTATTTTTCTCCGATGACGTTTTCCTTCAGTCTAAACAAAAGAAAACATGCAAAATACAGCTTTAGGGTGTTTTTTTTAGGACAGTTTCGAGGTGATTTGTGGGATTTTTTTTTGCTTCTATAACATGTTTTCTCTCCATTCAGCTGAAAGAAAACATGTAGAAGCAAAAAAAAGCCCACAAATACATATTTAATTGTTTATTTGCTTGGATTTTTTTTTACATTTTAGGGTCATTTTTAGGTTATTTTGCTTTTATAACACGTTTTCTTTAAGTCGAATGGAAAGAAAACAGGCAAAATACATATTTACATGTTTATTTTCTTATATTTTGTTAATTTTTAGGGTAATTTTAGGATTATTTTACATCAATCCTACGTTTCCTTTCAGTCTACTGTAATTAGAACATCAAAAATACAGATTTCTGTGTTTATAATTGTCGTAATATAACTGATGTCTTTTATCTGTCTGTTAATTTTATTTATTTTTTTTGATAATTTACTTGCTGTGCCTTAAATCAACGTCCTTTTTCCTGGCTTTTCCTATTTTTTAACTCTGAATCAGTGAATCTAGTTGTGGAGGTGGTTGAAAGCTGCAGAAAAAGCAAGAAAGTCATCTTTGAGTCAAGATTATTTTGTGAAAACACTCTTGTTCTGATCAAAATGAGAATTTTAAGCCTCAAAAACTGACAATATTCAGACACGTATGATGCAAAGCTGCATTATAACGACATTTCTTGTAAAAAATCAACACTGAGCATCTTCAGCGGTTTATCGGTGGCTCATTAAACCCTGATTAATGTGAGATAATAAAACTGTTTCTGGTGTTTGCTGGACCTGCAGGAGGATGAATCTCTGCAGTTCCTGAGTCAGGAGGAGCAGGAATGTCTGCAGTTCTTCGAGGAAACCATCGACTCTCTGGAGGAGAGTCTGGAGGAGGACGACCTGCGGCAGGCCAAGCCTCCAGAGATCCACGAGCTCGACGGACCCGTCGCCTCGAGTCCCAGAACCGGAGTCAGCGGGTCCCCGAGCTTCAACAGACCTCCGAGTCCCAAAGAGCAGGACATCATCGACCTGGTCCGACCAGAACCGGACCTGCTGCAGAGCAGAGAGCCGGTGTTCAGTCCCACCAACCCAGGTAGAGCGTAAAGAATAATAATAATAATGATAATTTTGCAGAAATTTAGCGTTTTTAATTTACTTTTATAATAAAATAAAATAAAATAACTGTATGTGTAAAACCTCATATTAAACTTGATATAATCTAAAATAACTAATAATTAGTTTACATTTTGTAAATTCATTCAACTTTTTTGTGTGGTCATATTTTTTTAATAATAAAAATCTGTCAGATATAAAAACTACACTCGATATGTTCTATAATTATCATCAGTTTCTTTCAATTTCAAACTAAGCTGCTAGTTTTACGACAGTGTTTTTAATTTTTTAAGAGGATTTTTCACACAATAATTACATTTCTCTGCAGTGTCCAGACTGACTATAATATTATTTAACAATATTTATCAGTGATTTCATTGGTTTGACACGTGTAAACATCCTTTATTAAACATTCACAAGTCTCAGAAAACACCCATTCTGTCAAATTCAGGCCAATAGCTCCAGTTTATGAAAGAAAGGTATGAGATAGATGTTTTTTGGATTAGCTTACAGTATTTTTTGGCGCCCCAGCTGCCAGAATATGACCTTTTTTCTCACTTTTTCAAAGGCAAATCAATTTTAAAGGTGTTTAAAGGTTACATTAAAACAACAGCATATAGCACAAGTTTTTTTTTTTCCAACTCCAACAACTAAAAGTCCTGAACGACTGAAGCCACGACCTGTTGTTCCCACATTTTAATTTTGCATTTTGCTCCTTCCAGACTTTCAGAGCATGATGCTGACCCCGGAGAGCCACTTTGAGATAAAGCCCCGGCATGACCCATCGGACGGTTTGCCTTCAGAGTACAACCCTCCTCTACCGAGCGGCAGCTTTGGGTCCACCGACTCGTCCTACCACCCTCCAGGCTGCATCCCCACCCCGGTGCTGATCGCCCAGAAGATAGCCGAGAACCAGGCGGGTGGAGGATCCAACTTACTTCCCTCCACGATGCTCCGACGTCTCAGCCTGGAGTCCGAAAAACCGGCGACCCACAGCACAGATCCTCCGGCGAAACAGGGTCCTCCTACCTCAGCCAAACCGAACCGATTCCCTTCTAACATCAGCGTGATCCTCGGCAACAAGGAGCACCAGAACCAGCCGCTGGCCAACGTGAACATCCACGAGAGGCGTGCGCAGATGCTGGCAAACCTGTCGGGTACAGCCCACCCTCTGCTGCAGGAAAACGCCCAGCCGGCGGAGCAAGAGAAGCCTCGAAACACTCCGACTCGCAGCATTTCCTTCAGGGACCCGACACCGGACAAGTCCAGGATGGAGGCGCTGTCGAAGCTGGGACTGACCCGGAACCGAGCCATGTCCGGGGGCACGTCGCTGCTCGTCACCCCAGACGGCACCTCACTGGAACCCCAACCAGCCGCAGAGTCCAAACCTCCAGAGCCGAGTCCTCCGCCAACAATCAAGACACCAGAGGTTACGGTGCCACCTCCGAGCCAGATTCACGTTGACAATAAACCCGAGATTCTACGGACGGATTCCTTCAAGAGCCATGAAGAAAGAAACCTCCAGCCGAGTCCTTCCCCTCCTGCTGCAGTCGCCCAAACCAGCTACTTCCCGCCTCCTTTGGAACACAAGGCGCCCGTCTCCCCTCCGCCTGAAGTCACCACACCAGAGTTCAACAGCTACGGAGGTAAATCCATCGTGGTGAATCCTTCCTTTTCAAGGAACGAACCTCCTGCGACGTCTCCAACCAGCCCTGAACCCAGAAGCCTCCCTCCAGCGCTGTCGAACCCGACCGAGTTCAACTCCTACGGCGGAAAGTCCAAAGTCATGACTCTGGCTCCTGCAGCCGTGACCAGGAGCGACCTTCCCGACATCCTCAGCTCCCACATCGACAAGAGCCAAACCCTTCCCGCCAAAACAGAGCCCATCGAGCTCAACAGCTACGGAGGAAAGAGCCGAACCATCAACCCAACCACCGGACCGACCCGACCTCCGGAGACCCAGGCAAAGAGCTTCAAAGCCCCGGCGCCGACTCCAGCTCCAAGACCTCGGCACTCCTACCACGGCGCTTTGAGTTCACAGAAAGCAGCGTCTCGAGCTCTTTCTCCCGACCACAAGCGGAGATCCAACTCCATGTTTCGTCCTCAAGGCATCACCGTGCAGTTTTCTGGACGGGGGGCGACGAACGAATCGCGAAGGGAGGCGTTGAGGAAACTGGGGCTGCTGAAAGACTCCTGAGGAACTTGTTGAATCTGTGGAGTTTACCTGCTGGTGAAGGCGGTTTGTTTGGAGAAGTTTTTCCGTGTGAGGTGTGGTTGGGAAAAGACACTTTTTTTTTTGCATCCTACAAGTCAGTTCTCACTTTCTTGCCATAAAAACTGACAAACAGTGCGGCTGTCGCATGTTTGACATTGTTTCTATGCTGAGTTTCCACGTATACCTCGAATCAGCCTGGACGCTACAGAGCGGCATCGTCTTCCTGCAGGACTCTGGTTTCGGCTCAGTGGACTGTAAGGAGCCAAACTTCTGAAGCTCCTGAGAACATCTTAGAAAAGAACAAACCCTGGAGATGTTCTACATGTGGGTCGCTCAATGCTTTAAGACTTCTTAAGGTCTCACAAATATGTAGTTTCATGTTTAAATAATGGCTCTTTGGTTTCCTTAAACTGTAGTTTTTGCAAATACGACTCAAATAAGAGGAAGACGTGAATTTGTCTGGGACTATTTTCAACAGTGGATGAATACACCGTTGAAAGTTTTATCAGGTTGAGGGTTAAAGTTTAAATGATGCTCGTTAAACTGAGGTTTACTCGTAATTTATATGTTTTGTTTTTTTTTAACAAAAGTAAACCTGGATCATCAACCCGTCCTGCAGCTCAGACTCTGCAAGAACTTGGATTTTATATGGCAGCTAATTTGTGGTAATTTTATTAATTGCACATTTGTTTAATTATATGCATAATTTTAAGATTTTTGTCTTGTGACGAGGACCAGTGTACGCCGAGCTCCCACGGCTTTTTAACCCCAAAGTGGGTTTTGGGCTTCGGGGGGTTAATATAATTACTATTTTGGTTTTTAAATAAGCATGTGCTTGATCAAACTGCCACAAATTACCTGACGACAAATTAATACAAACAAAATTACAATAATAATGAAAATTATTAAGTTAGCACCTTTAAAAACAGGAGCTTTTATTTTTAAAAAAGTGCAGGAATGTTCCAGGTGTACTCGTTGGGACCTTCCAAAAGAAAAGAAAATCCAACCTTGCGATATAAATAAGAGTAAATAAGTGCAGGTTGAGAAAACTGTCGTGCACAAGAGTAGTTTTGGTATTCTAAAAAATAAATTGACATTTTGCACTTCAAATTTGATGTAAATATTTGTAAAAAAAACTTAAATTAAAAACCCAATTATGAGGAAAATCCAAACCCTGACGAATTCTGAAGACGTAAATATTTAACAATCATTTTAAAAACACCCAGTAAAGCATATTAAACGTGATTATTTGTTCTGAACCGATGCTCACAAACAGGCTGTGAAGTCGTCGTCGCCTCTGTTACGCGGGAACCTTTCGTCGTTTTCTGTTTACCGACTCCTTTTTGGGAATTTTTCACGCCATCGAGCGTGTTTGTTTTCTTTCTGTCGACGCTTTGGGATCAAGTTTTAAAGCACTTTTCTTTTCTACGTGGCGGTTTTATTGAAATACAGCGTAAAGAGCAGCGAGTGAACAAAACCCAGGAGCCGTGAAACAAACTCCACCGACGTCCTGGAATAACGTTAAAGTGAAGAAGAGGAAGAGAAAAAGTTGGAAGCGGTGGAGCTGCAGGGTATTTTTACTGCGAACCTCCCACACCAAACCACAGACTGGTGGAGAGCGTTTGTGGGCAGGACTTTCACTGTAGAAGTGCTCTTTAGGGATGGGCGAGCACATGGCATTGTACTAAACACAAGCACTACCGACCGCACAGTCCAGAAATACATCCTATATGTTTTTACTGCTGCTGTCGATACGTTGGCAGTGTCTTATTTAACTGTTTACTGTGTTTTTTTTGTTTTATTTTCTTTGTTAAAATCCAGACTCCGGTTCTCTGTAGCTCATCTACAGCAACTCTGAAGTGTCTCTTGTGAATTTTTGTTTACAGACTCCGGTTCTCTGCAGCTCATCTGCAGCCATTTTGAAGTTTAAAGGTGCAAACACGCAGCGTGGATCTCTGAACACGAGGCTTTACGAGATGATATTGTGCACAGAACAAAGATTTAAAGTGCTTTTATTGTGGTAAATGGGAAAAAAAACAATCAGTGACATGTGAAAGTTGCTGCTATGAAACAGCCTGGTAGACTTCATATGCATCGTACGCTGTATATAATCGGCTTAATATATCTAAAAATGAGTTTTTGTCATTAATTAAACAGGATACTGTCACATCTGTGTGCTCGTTTTTCATTCATTAACTGTGGAATTAGCAGTAATATTTATAACAATGCAATATTTAGGATGTATTTTCCCCACGTTGTTCATTTTTAGGTAGTTTGGTTCAAGGTTCAAGGTTATATACTGCATTTTGTTTTTAAACTACATTTCTTGTAAAATAATCCTCATTCACACACTTTAAGTCACAAATTATTACGTAAAAAAATATACAGTTTACTAGAAATGTTGTGAAGTTTTGTTTTTTAGCTGAAAATAAAATTAGCGTAGCATCAGTGGCTATTTTTTAGCTGTTCACGTTAGCTTAAAAGGAGCAATACTTACTGTGATACATGAAATTAAATGTGTTTGAACAGTAGAATATCATTAAATAGCTTCTTACTAGTGAAATATAAGCCCCTTTAGTTTAGTTTGGGCTTTTTTTTTTCATTAAAACATCCAAAAGCAGCACAAAGTTTGGTTTTTTTCTACTATTTCAGCTGTTCAGACGCATCTTACACGCTGTGTTTCTGTTAAAGCATTAAAAATGTATTTATTTCCAATCTTGTTAAAGGTGTAGGTTAAATGTTTTTAGAAAAAAATACTTATTTGTTGCCTGTCTTTATGCTTAACAAAAAGCTACAGGCAGGGATGAGGTTAGCTTAGCCTAGCATAAATACTGGAAATAGCCTAGCCTAACAGCAAGCCTAACAGAAGCGCTAAAACAACATCTTGCTGTTTTGTTAGGAGTTATGTGGTGGATGATTTCTGGTGCCGGCCAACAAGATGATTTGCTTTTTAAAAAAAAAATAAAGGTTAGCCGCATTAAGCTAAATGCTAATGGCACCATCCTAACATCCTTACAAAAGACAGTATTATTGTAGCTTTGCTACTAGCATCACACAGTTCAGTTGGTTGTCATAAAATATATTACTGAACAAATTTAAATCTTCAATAAGGCGCTGTTTGGCAGCTTATTTCTTCTATTCAAACAAGACTCGGTCACATTCAGCTAAATAAGAATGCCAGGATGCTAACATCCTTGTGAAGACAGTGTTAGCTTAACATTTGGTATTAGCATTATACCATCCATGGGTTTGATCATGAAATAAATTACTAGACTCATTAGTATCTTGAAAAAGGCGTTGTTTAGCAGTTTGTTTTTTAAATCAAGGCTTAGCCACATTAAGCTAAACAACATGCTAATAGCTGATAAACATCCTCATTAAGACATTTGATATTATACAGTCCAGGTATTAGGTCATGAAGTGGTTATTCTGACAAATTTAAATCTTGAAAAGGTCACTGTTTGGCAGTTTATTCATTTAAAAACAGGGCTTAGCGGCAGTAAACTAAATGCTAACGCCCGCCGTCGAGTCTTAAGGTGCTGCTTCTAGATTAAACCGTGTCTCAGCAGCAGGCGATAGTTTGTGTTTTCTATCTGATCGTGGCAGCGACACGACTGAACCATGAACTTTATACTTTAAAACAGGTCCAGGTGACTTTCTTGACTCGTCCAAGTCAATGATTTGCTTCGTTGGATCTCTGCTGAGCCCCTCAGACTTTCCCACCGTCGAGTCCAATGAGTGGATCAGATGGAGTCGGCAGTCGATCATCATCACTCAGGAGAAGCTAAGCGCTAATCTGACTAGCACGGCTTTCTAAATCACCGAAACTGATAATTAAAGCTGTGCGTATATTTTTGACCCATCAGGTTTTGTCATATTTCCACAAGACCTTTAATAAATGTGCAGAAAATTCAGAGTGATGGGAGTCAATGGAAACTCATGACACACGTGGTCTTTACAATTGTATGCAAACGTTTGATCACAACTGTACATATACAGTATTTTACTCCCTAAGCTTCAGTTTGGTTTCCCAGCTAAACCACCTAACAGGGCTCTGAATGGTTTCCTGACCTTCCTTTCCACGCGTCACATCGGCCCGTTAGCGGCTGAAGAAGCCGTCTGGGCCGCCGATGCTTACATAAGACTTCAACACTGAGGCTTTCATTCCTGCTGCCGTGGTGAGCGCTGGAGGGCGTGTCGAGGATGACTGATGTCCTGCCTCACCATTGTTTCCCTTAATGAGCCAGCATGTCTCTAACCCCGTGTTGAAACTTTAACACGTCTTAATTCATACCGTCGCTCCCATGATGCACTT